GTTTATCACGTGAACCCTTGATGTGCATTCAGTGGAGGACCTAGGCCGGGGCCTGGGGGGGCATGTGCCCCGGCTTCCGACCCCGAAGTTTAGTATTAGTACTTGAAATAAAAATTGTGCCCCTGTTATCTGGACAAAAAATTATACTATAGTAGTATTTTTCATTAGTATTACCGAAATATAACTAATGAGCATAATTATGGTCACTAAAATTGCTTTGGTAGTATGTAAGTTATATTTTTGTCCACTATCTTTATTTCAACCATATTGTCATTATTTCAAAAAACTATTATATGTATAGGACTCCGTCGAAGACATATAATAATTGTAGTAAGAAATATAAACAACTCTGCAGTTGTGATGGAGCAAATTCTTATAATTAGATATGTTGTTATATTGTTACTACACTTTAATTGAAAAGTGACATTGATGATTGTTTACTTGGTGTGAATAATGTCTGTCCAAAGTTAAAGTTCAAAGATACGACAAGGGTTCTAATATGCAGGATAAACTTAATAGATTGAAGACTTTTATCTTGAATAAAAGTTGATACATGAAAAAATGTGTTAATTCGCGATAAATTAGTTTCAAATCGACATACCCTTTAAATATTTTCTATAATATGATACTCGTAAAAGTTAGATATATAGAATCATATAATTAAATAAAGTTGTATTAAATGATGAAATCCTAAACTTGACTTATACATAATTTAATTTAAGACGATAGTATTATATTTTAGACAAGTACCAAGAAATTTTGTGGCACAATGTATAACATCGACATGATCTTAGTTCAAATCTGAAATCTTGATCATTTTATAGTATGAAAAATAGCAAAAATTCTAATGTAAAATCAGAAACGGCGCAAAGACGAGTCATTTCTAATCCGCCAAATTATGTCTTTCTTTCAAAAAGTCAAATATTGTTGTTTAGAATTGTCTTAATGAGTTCACAATTAGACTTGTAATCCGTATATATTCATTGCTTGACGTCGGGATTGAATAATCTATTTCAAGTTAAAAATATTAATTTGAACGCACTTGACAAAAAAGACCAATGATACACCCAATTCGATCCGATTCGACCCATTTTTATCTATGTGGGAGTGCCCCCGCTTCGGAAAACTTCTGGGTCCGCCACTGTGTGCATTGGAGGGTGATTTTTTTTCTGAGGACTTGGACAGTGTATCCAACTTTCACTCTGCAATTTCGTCATATAAACTTTCTTAGGTGATGTGAAGCAAACATGTTAACTGTTGACGAGCTGATCTAATAACATTCTTCTGTACATATGTATATACTACTAGGATAGAGGCTTCAGGCACTGAAGTCCTTAGTCACGGTCTCACGGAGTAGTTTCAAGATTAATAGCTGATGTATGGGAACGTTGCCTGCTGGTATAGCGTGTCTTTCTCGTGTATGTACATTTTAGTAGAAGAGGTGTGAAATTTCTGATTCATCTAGTAAACTATATTGTATTACTTTTGAAAGGCGTCTAGCTCAGAGTAGATGAGACTAACATGTAACTCATGAATCTTTATTTACTTCTTTTGTCATCAATTTGTTTGGTTCAAGTTATGTGATTATGAGATAATCTTACATCACCTTCACATAAGCGAAAGTGGTTGGGTCGACAAAGAGGTTATGCAGGAAAGGAAAGGGGGTGATTACGGAGGAGGGATGATGAATGATTATGTTTTATTTGGTTTGAGGAAGTTTAGTGAAGGAAAAGAATGGAGAAATAATAGAAAAAATACCACTATCTTCATTTCGTCATCTTTGTTTTATGCTCAAAGATGGATGCATTAGTTCTACTTTTTTCTTTCGGTCTATAATCCTCCTGAGAAAAGATACTTGGTCGCTTTTGGTGTACCTTGTTTGGCATTTTACTATTTTGTGTTGTGGCCCTTATTATGTTGGTTATTCACATTAATCACATGTACTACCTCTAGGCATGTTTGGTTTGGACTTGGATCTCACCTAAAACCGTTTGTGTATTTTGCTTGTACGAGCTTCTTACCTACTTATTTGAATTTTTTGTGGAACATGTCCTTTTAGAAAATTGGAGTCCGTTTGGTCACTTCTATTTCCATCTTATTAGTCTTATACTCTTTTTATCAGCCAACTATTTTTTTATCAAAACTTTTGATTTGGCGCTAATAATTCAAATAAGTAAGATTGAAATTGTCTTTCTAGCTGAATTGGTGAAATTACTATAGATGATGATTTTAGCTATTTTCATAGAAGTTTTTCTTTATTTTACTAAATTGGAGTAGACATATTTTGGAATTCCAAAATATGATTATTATGTTTATCTTCCTGAGATAGAAGTAACATGACAATATCTACTGCCATCTTGGAGTTATTATTGCCAAAATAGTTGTCGTATTACTGCCATAGTAGTACTGGAAGATAATTTTTCATAATTTAGGAAATTTAGCCGTTTTCAAAAGAATTTCATCAATATGAATAAGTATATTATGTATAAAAGTGATTTTATAATGTGTGTATGTTGTGTTTAGTTTGCATTTCAAAGTGTTGAATTTCAGTGACTTATTCCAAAAGTGATTTTATAATGTGTTTATAAGTATTATGTATAAAAGTGATTTTATAATGTGTATATGTTGTGTTTAGTGTTGCATTTTAAAGTGTTGAATTTCATCAACTCTAAGGACTTATTTTGAAATAACTATGTACATAAATATGTAATCAACTCATTAGTCTTCAATGTAGTTAGGGGTGGACTCGGGCCGGGCGGCCCGGCCCGGTCACTGTTTGAACCGGCCCGAACCGCCGGCCCGGCCAGGGACCGGTCCGGGTAGGCCCGACCCGCTGGGGTTCCGGGCCGGGCTCGGGCCCCTGAAAAGGTGAACCGGCCCGGCCGGTTCGGGCCCGGTCCGGGCCTATTTATTTATTTTTTATTTTTTATTTTTTGAATTTTTTTTAAGTTTTTGGTTTGGGCTGGGTATTTTGGGCCATTTGAGGTGGTTTGGGGGTGAGGGGGGAGGGTTGGGGGTTAATTAGGAAAAGTCAAAAAATAAATAAATTAAGTAGAACTGAGGCCCGGCCCGAACCGGACCCGGGGGTTACCCGGGCCGGTTCCGGGCCTCCCCTTTCATGAACCGAGACCCGGCCGGGCCCAGGCCCGAACCGGGCCCGAGTCCACCCCTAAATGTAGTGCTTTGAATTTTCTATTTTTTTTTTTTGACAAAAAAAAATTATTGGGAGAACTACCAAAATAAACTCTTGAGCTTACATAAAAAGTGCAAATCACCCCTTATATAGAAGGTTTTATCCGGCCGTCGCCATTTGGTGCGGTTCTCGGTAAAAATTTTTGATGAATTTTTTGAGCATCTTATTCATTAAGTCTAGTTTACTCATACCAAATGTAAGGTAAAAATTCAACCGGAAAGGTAGTCAAATGATTTTCTGAAATATACTACGCCGTTTAACGTACAGTTATCTTCAAAAATTCACAAAAACCATACGTTTACTAGACCAGACCAGACTAGTTCAGATCAGACCAGACTTAAGCAGATCATACCAGCAAATTACAGTTCAAGTAAAAACATCCTAACAAATGTAGTAATTATATTATTACTTTTTACAATAAACATATCATTACTTTTATTACGATAAAAAAGTTTAGAAATAATTTCATACTCCCTCCGGTCTCAAAAGAACTTCATAGTTGATTTTACAATTTTTAAGAAAGTGATTTTTTTTTGTTTTGTCTTTCTAATTATGCCCCCCAAAAAGTAGATAAAGTGTAGTGAGTGAGAGAATGCCAGTATAAAGTAGGTAATAAAGTAAGAGTTTAAGGGTAACTTTATATTAAAAAGTTGCCAAAAATAGAAGTGTGAAGTTTATATTGAACTCACCCAAAAAGGAAAGTGTTAAATTACTTTGGGACCGGATGGAGTATTTATGACTAAAATAAAAATTGTTTACAAAAATATGACTAGTGACTAAAGTAATAAGAGAGTCATAGTAACTATTAGTCATATTTTGTAAATATCTTTTATTTTAGTTATATTTTTGTAAAAAACCCAAATGTTATTACTTTTACCAATAAAAAAATATAGTTTTATTTATTGAGATTAAAATAGAAATGGTCAGATTTTATTAAAATTGTAGTTGAAAGAATAATTTGGATACCGACTAGTTGTAGACTTGTAGTCTTGTAGTTACTATTTTTGTTCAAATATGAAATAATCATCTTATTTATTTATTCATTTATTTATTTATTTATTTATTTATTTATTTATTTATTTATTTATAAAAACAAACAAAATCAAAAGAATACCTTTATTATACTAAACAATACTCCATATTATTTTTATTATAAATAAGGAAATGTATGCTTTATATATTAACCAATATAGATATGATCAGTTCATTTATCCAAAAATCTAAATGAAAATAATAAATTTGATACTAATCGATTGCAGGCAGTTTGCAGCTATGATGTTATCGTTCTTATTAAGGTTATTTTATTTATTGAATAATAAATTTGGAAATATTTGTTTTGTTTGGGAATCAAAATAAAAAGGACTCATAAGAATTAGTATTTCTTCTCGGCCTATTCAAATTCAAAAAAATTAAGGTTTTCTATCATGATTATACACTAATTATTACTCCGTATATTATTGATGAAATTATGCAAGTTATATGCAATTGATCAGTTACAAGTCATCCAAAAAAAATATAAGTTACAAGTCATAGTAACGGATGATCAGATCCTTTCCGATGTATCAACAAAAGGTAAGTGATGATCAGATTAATTAATTAAATCTTAAATATAGGTAACAAATGATAATCACTTGAATCCTGACACTTACTCAGCTCATTTCCGATATTAGTAATTTCCCCATTTTAATAACAAATGTATTGCTGAAAACCAATAGAAAACAATAATCATTTTTATAAGGAACTATCATCAAATCATCAATATATAACATTTTGTGCATTCAAATCGAACAATTCAAAGAAAAACATGACCACATTCATTTAAATCTCTGAGTATATATATAGGGGAGACCACTCCATTGTTTATCACCAGAGTCACATTTACTTATCAAAAACAACACTATGAAGATCTATCCTTCTTGGGTCTTAAACATAACATTCGGATATCAACTCCATATGTTGATACTCTCACTTCTCTTCCTAAATATTTCGTCAGAATCCAATAACCAAAACCATCACCCAAATCATATGTACAGTAGTTTCCGCCATATCATTCCCCACCCCTATTGGCTAATCAAGGAGGGGGTGAGCCGAGATGATGTGAAGAGGGAAGCTCCATCCGGTCCGAACCAAATGCAATCACCACTCCCACCATTGCCTCCAACCAATATGAAAAGAATGGTGCCCAAAGGTCCAGATGAGACTGAACCTCCCCTATCACCATTCATTTCAATAGAGGAGAAAAGATCAGTGCCTAACGGCCCAAACCCGATGGAACCACCAGCCAGTTTACAGATACCATATTGGGTTATGAAGGAGGATATAAAGAGGAGTGTTCCAAAAGGTCCAGATGAGACTGAACCTCCCCTATCACCATTCATTTCAATAGACGAGAAAAGATCAGTGCCTAACGGCCCAAACCCGATGGAACCACCAGCCAGTTTACAGATACCATATTGGGTTATGAAGGAGGATATAAAGAGGAGTGTTCCAAAAGGTCCAAATGAGACTGAACCTCCCCTATCACCATTCATTTCAATAGACGAGAAAAGATCAGTGCCTAACGGCCCAAACCCGATGGAACCACCAGCCAGTTTAAGGATACCATATTGGGTTATGAAGGAGAATGTAAAGGGGAAAGTTCCATCCGATCCAAACCCGACTGGACCGCCAGTATCATCATTGACTTCGACAGATGTGTCTAATAGTCACCACCTTTATTGGATTGTGAAAGAGGGGGAGAAAAGAATGGTACCATCAGGACCAAATCCAATGGAATCCCCTGATCCATCAATTACAGTATAAGATACATCTACAACTACAATCTCTCAATTGATCCAGATATTGCCTCTTTATATGCTCTAGTTTAACTGTTTCTATCACACACTACACTAGCCAGTGGTGAAATAATGATGTAATACAAAGTCTAAATTTCTATTCAATGAAATGACCATTTCTTTTAAAACTACCAATTTAGTAGTGTAAATGACAAATAAAAGACTGATACAACCAAATTCATGTGCCTCTTATTAACTTCAACAAACTAAATAAAACCAAACAACCTTAGATTCCCAACATCTCCCCTCCGGGAGGGGTCAGAATACATCGACCATAATAACCTTATCAACTTCAATGTCTTTAGTACTTTAAAATAAAAGTTCACAAGTTTATACACCCTTTGATTCCCAAAGTATAAGAAATTCCGTATCTTTTAGCAACATTTATAGTAGTTTAATATCAACAAACTTGGTCCTCATCTTCTAAAGCTTCTATTTGCAAGTTCTCATTTCTTTTAACATAATATTTTGGAAAATCTCTACTTTCAAAAATTCATAATAAAAAGGTATGGACAATAAAACATTCAGATCAGGTTCAGATCAGATCATATCAGAACTTAAAAAATTCATATCAGAAACATTCAGATCAGGTGAAGAGAACAACTTATAAGTGTCCGCCTTGTTGTTTCATGTCATTTTATTTTTAAAATACTTACGGTGGGGTAAGGGGGGTCGGATGTATGTAGTCTTACCTTATACTAAATCACAAAGAGTCTGTTTTCGGATGACTCATAGTAAAAGTCACGCCGAAAATTGCATGGATTGACTGATGCTTCATAACAAAGTAGCGCGGACAGTTTAGAAAACCATTTTGCTTTATTCCATCATATTCCCAAGCCAAAAAACAGTGATTCTTTGGCTCCATTCAATCAAAAGATATATTAAAATTAATTTAACTTGTCAAGTTGTCATTAGTTCTACTTATAATACTCACAAATTTATAAAAAGTTGACATGCAAAGTTTGGAGTGAAGTAATGCAAGCGATATCTAAAGAGAGTTTTTGAAAAATAGCATAAATTACATGGATTACTTTTTTTGTTTACAAAGTCTAAAACACATTTTTTAAATTTACAAGGTTTAAAACATATTGAAGCCTAGATTTAATAGGTTGTCCAAAGAGTGAAAGGGTCCATTACAAATAATGTTACAAAGGGTGAAAGCTCAATAACAAATGACAATTTCTTGTTGTAGTATTAACTTTTGTGTTTGGTTTGCGCATTTTGTTTAGTTTGAGTCTATAACGTACAAAGTATCCCTATCCAAAAAACCCTGCCCCAACTATTGCGCTTGTATTATGGAAAATTCCTTTTGTACACGCCAAGTTTTACACGCCGGTCAAATTGTCTGTGTGCAGACAATTTGACTGGCTACACAGACAATTTGACCGGCGTTTTATGAAAAAACTGATTTTCACACATACAAAAAATAAAAAAATTGTCTATATGACAGGCACTTTATGAAAAACTCTGGTCTAAAATGTATGTGATACAGACAACTCTTTACTTTTTGTCTGTGTGAAAATCGATTTTCTTTATAAAACGCCGGTCAAATTGTCTGTGTAGCCGGTCAAATTGTCTGTACACAGACAATTTGACCGGCGTGTAACCCGGCGTGTACATGAAGCGGGACTCTGGTATTATTTTGTAACTGTAACCTCTTTTGAAAGTGGAGTAATGTCATATTTTATGAGATAAGCATCCACTAATGATTTAAAATGTTATTGGCAATATTGTTACTACAATATCAATTTTAGAACTTTCATGATTTCTGGTGGAATAAGCCAAGGAATTTCAGCTTATAGCAAAACATTGAGAAATTTGGTACTGCAAGCATTGGATAACCTTTCTACAGTTGACACAATATTGTGAGCCTAACATAGTAAACAAACTTGCTCACAAACTTGGCTTCGAATATACTCTGTAAGAAATATACCATGTCATTCACCAACAACAAATACAGTAGTTTACAAAGCAAAAAAACAGAACCCTTTTAAATACTACCTCCGTCCCATTAGAAGGCTCCCGTCCACTATTCATATGGTCAACTTAAATCATTTTTATTCTTTTGCTTTATATATCAAACTTTTATCAAATTTACATTTTTTTATCAGGCTTTGTAGCAGTTTTAATGTAGTTTCTGAATATGTAACGGGAACCTATAACGGGAATCTTCTAGCGGGACGGAGGGAGTAGCAAAAAAGATCTCAGTATTGATCAAATGCAGATTCAACAAATAATGTCACTTTGTTGTTGAATCAAATTTAGTTATAAATTACAATGTTTTAAAGATATGACCATAATATATAAAGTCAATTCTGTTGATTCCATACAGACAAACTGTTAGATATGATCTTATTAAGTACAGGATATTGAGTCCCTTTTTCGCCGTTGGAAAGCTAAACTCACGTTTTAAAACTTTTATAGACTAAATTTCTAAGTTTTATAAGAGCCGTCTTCATTTGACCAATAAGTATATTACTAAAAAAGTTTGAGGCAAAAAATACAACATACAATGTAAAACTCACACACAATGATATAAGTGAAGGCTAGAGATGTAGCTACCACATTCAACATTTATCCGATAATTGACCAACACTTTCAAGCATGTGCCTCTTAATGACAAAGGTGAAACCACTGCCACAGTAAACTTCAACAACAAATGGTTTTTTTACATGCTTATACATATTATTATTTGTACTCACCACTTGAGGACTAGCTTGATCATTTGTATCTCCCAAGCCAAGTTGACCATGTTCCCCCCATCCCCACGTCATCACTGATCCATCATCTGTGTATATATTAAATGACACACATTATAACACAAAATGTAGAAAAGACAAAAAACGGAGCACGTTATACAAGCACTGTGTCAGATCATTATAAAAATGCAGAGTGGCTTCTCATTTTCAACATGAAGAAACTTGCCTGTTACCAAGGCCGAGTGCTCAGCTCCTGCTGAAATTTGGAAAACCTTTACCCCAACAAGAGCATCAACCTTCTGTGCAATTTGTTCATTTCCTGCAAATGTATGTATTTAAAAGCCGATTTATACTAGAACCATTAATGCATGATAAAGATTTATTTTAAGGCTATGTTTGGAACTTGGAATGTGGTAGGGAAAGAACTAAAGAAAATGGTTTTCTGTGTGAAAGATATAGAATATACTTTAGAATATTATAATATACTTCTGAATATTCTAGGAATATACTTTAGAAGTATATTATAATATTCTAAAGTATATTCTATATCTTTCACATTCTGATATTTAGTTTTACCTTAGAAAACCAAGTTTGATTTTTTTTAAGATTGACATATGCTTCGATTTTGTAGCCTTATACTCTTATATAACTGAAATACTTAAATTGAAATGAGTTTGAAAAAATATACGTACTATAATTGAAGCAGTTTATTATTCTCCACGATATTTTATTTCCTTCTAAATTTCCTCTACTTTTCCCTCCCTGTTTACTTTCTCTAGCATTTTCCAAATTCGCAGAAGGACCACAAATTCCATAAGATTTTATTTACAATTACTTTAGCCCTATATTGCTAGGACTTTGTATGCCACATAGCAAGACACCTGACAAAAAGATTAGGTTCCTTTTTTATTGATTACATTTCTTCTAATGGGATTTACAATAAAAGCGGGGGCTTCACCTGCATCTTCAAGTGTTTTCGCTATCAACTGTGTTTTTTGGCTACTCGAAGCACCATAGTTATAACCGCCAATCATGAACACTTGTCCATCACCTGCAAATCATTTTAAAAAATATCTAGATAAGTAAATGCATAAAGACTGTTAGCAGCATGTAATAGTAGTGCAACTTATCTTTTGTGCTCACATCAACATGTTAGAAGGTTATTAATCATTTCAAGGCAACTGTAGCAGTTACCTGTTAACAATAGAGCATGATTCCACCCTATAGAAGCGCTACTGAATGATGGGCTTGCTGCAATACGTTTGGGCATATAATTATCTGGGTCTCCACCGAAGCCTCTTCCCCATCTATAGAAATGTCCATCAGCTAACAAGAAATAAATAATTGAAAATCAAGATATGAAAAGACACAAATGGACAGTGCGAGATTAAGAAAAAGTTGCATAAAAATTAGAGCATTACATTAGCTAATGACTGAAATTTAAAGTTTGCATCATAACCTACATAAAAATTTGTTTTTTTATTCAACAAAATATTCAACTTCAAACACTTACTACATATAGCTCCACTATGGTCTCCATTTGCAATAATGCTGTTAATTCTGAGATTTTCCAAGCCCAAAGTAACATGAGGAACGCTTACTGATTTTACTTTGTCATCAGATATACCCAGCTGACCACGTTTTCCAGACCCAAATCCATAAACACGACTTCCCATATTACCTGCATTAACCCCTTTTTCAGTTCATGAGTCAAGTGTTTTACAATAGAAATGAGCCACTTTTAAATACAAATAAAAAGATATGGTCTGCTTATGAATAGTGTAAAAAACAAAAACCAAAAACCAAACATACCCAGTATGTGCCACTTAAAAGTACGGACAGCGGATGATGAGATCTTCAGACTTTGTCTCCATCCAAGGAGTACAGAGGTTGTTTCCATGAGTACCCCAATATAGTGAAATTTAAGAAATTTGAGAAGATGTTGATAATTTTATGACTTTTTTAAAAAATCTGAATATTTTTTTTAAAAAATAGCAGAACAATAATAAAATATCACAAGGGAAATGGTAGTGTGAAAATGTAATCAGAAAAAATGTGAATTCACAAAAGTTAATTATTCAGCTGACAAAATTTTACCTTCAACCAAAGCAATCGAATGGCGCATACCACAAGCAATGTGCTTGACATGTCTAGAGCTAAAAAATGGCACTTCTACAGGAGAAGAGTGGGATATATAATCACCAAGACCAAGCTGCCCAAACGTACCATCTCCACACATGAAGAGTTGACCGCTCTCTAGAATTAAATAAAAAACCCAACCAACACGGAAAATATGAATTCCTTCATACAATGAAATGCAGAGGAAAAGGCAAAGATAAACCTGAGGAGGTTTGCTTTCACAAAAACTAAAAAGTACAGTAACTCCATATGTGTGTGTGTACTTAAAGAACACCTCAATGACTTAAACAAAAAGAAAACTCCAATGAATAATTTTTTATAAGAGAAGAGGAGAACAAATAAACCTGAAACAAAACCGGAGTGATTCCAACCAGCAGAAATATATGTAATATCAAAGGCTACCAAATCTTCCACAACCATAGGCTGCACACTGGAAACAGCTTCCCTATGGCCTAATTGCCCTGATGTACCCCTACCCCATGTCACCACTCTTCCACCTGCAAATGCTTAACTGTTAATGGCCGCGTGGTATCCTCATTTACCAGCTTACCAGTCATATATGTCAATATGTGATATGTCTACTAAGAACAATTTTTGTTTTACTTCACGATAAAAGTGAGAAAATTAAGGTTTGAAGTGGTCACTAATAAAACATAACAAGGTTGGATGTATTTTTTGGCTAAAATGACTTAAGCTGATTAAGATGATTACTTCATCCTTTTACCCATATGCGGAGTATTTGTTTTCTTTATCTTTTTAATATAGAGGGAGTAATATATACTCTATTTAGGATATCTTTTTTAGTAATTCAGCAATTTGGTCAATAACTCAAAGACTCAATATTTTTCCATCATTTGCAATGGAGCCAAAGACTCAATATATTTTTGGCTTGGAATATGATGGAATAAAGCAAAATGGCTTACTAAACTGTATGCGCTTCTTTGTTATGAAGCAACAGTCCGTCCATGCAATTTTCACTATGGGTCATCCGGAAACAGTCTCTCTATGCTTTAGTACACGGGTAAGACTGCGTACATCCGACCCCATACCCCACCGAAGGTGTGGGAGCCTTTGCGGCACTGGGATAATGATGATGATGAGCAATACGGTCCATCAAGTGGGATTCAGCCACACTATAGCCATTTTAAACCTTATAACGGGATCGCAAACTTCAACTTTATTCTGTTCACTATTCAAAATTTGAGTTAGGTTTCAGTTCTTGAAATTGAGACAATTGCCACTCTATCCAGCTCAGTAGTTTACTAGTTTTTATTTAAGCATTGTATTTTGGGTAACAACAGCACAGGTAAAGGTGGGAAAACAGATAAGTAATTGAGTACAACCTGAACAGTTCCATGAAAGAAGATAGAAGGAAAGAGACCTGAGATGAGAGCTATGACATGAGCGCCGCCGCAAGCGAGAAGAGAGACTGGGCCCAATGAGGAGAGAGAACGGAGCAACTGAGGGTGGTGCTCGTCTAAGAGCCTCCCCGTTCCCAACTGACCCTCTGTGCCTGCCCCCCAACTCCATATCTCTTCTTCCAACTCCTCATTTTCTGCTTTCTCTTTGAAACTTTCGTTTGCTTCCATTTGTTACTTCCGACCGACGGAGTGATCAGAAATCCTACCACACGTTGGCAAAACTTGCTAAATTTTGAAAAATGTGAAATGAAAAACTGGAAGGAAACCATTCGTCTAAGCAGAATCGCCTAAGCAGAATAGCTGTTGTTTTCGGGAGTTTTCCTCCTTAAGGTCTGATTGCAACCGCTTTTACTTTTAAAAAAGGGTTTTTTAATTAAATGGGAAGAAGTGATTAAATAAAAGTTGATAGTGTTTGAGAAAAAAAGTGATTTTGAAAAGTAAAAGTGGGTAGTATTTAGTAAAATAAGTGCTTTTTGTGTAATAGAAAAAGTAAAAGCACTTTTAACGCGGAAGCGGAGAAAAATAAAAGTTGTAGTGTTTGAAAAAATAAGTGATTTTTTAAAGCAAAAAACTGAGAAGTGCTTTTTTAAAAGCAGTTGCAAACCAACCCTTAGAGTTGATCCCTATTTAGAAAAAAACTGATTTTAGGAGTAAATTAGATATCACAATCACTTCTGCACTTTCACCCAAACACTCCAACTTCTACTTCTTCTGCTTGAAGAAGTAGAAGCGGTTTAAGAATCAGATCCAAACACCTCCTAATGCTCAGTTCATTTTTTTTGCCGAAATAAGCTTAAATTTGATACTCCCTCCGTCCCGTAATTAAGTTCATACTTTCCTTTTTGGGATGGTCCATATTAAAGTTCCTACTTCAAACCTTTCCTTATTTGGCAAATGATTTACACAAAAACAGTGCCAAACAGTGTTCAAACAGTGCACTCCACAGTAAAGTCAAATTTATTTCTTAATATGTGTGAAGTCAAACTAGGAATTTAATTAAGAACGGGAGAGAATATTTTGATAACAGGTCATGTTCCGCGCGCCACCAATTTTACTAGGTGATAAGTCCGTATTTAGACATGCATTTGATGTGTGTTGAGATCGGATTTTGATGATTTTCCTAGCTTTAAGGTGTTACAAGTCTCAATTTTAGCTCAAGTTATGTTTAACAGGCGTTGGTTCGAGTTTTGTGTCATTTGGAGTCAAAATCAAGATTTTAGAGTTCGACATCGGCACTTGAGGAGAAATCAGGATGATTTGAGAAGCATTTGAGATTGATTTGAGAGCTATGGAGGTCACCGGGAGGTTTACGATGAAGATTTGATGACAAAAGAGCTCTAGGATTGGCTTCGGGATCAAAACAAGATGAATGAAGCTTGAAAACGACGATCAGGATGATCTTCTGTCAATCATTCAAGCATATCTCTTTGTAGGAAAAACCAATGGACACGATTCAAGTTTTATATGAAAGCTAACCTCAAGGGCTACAAATCATATGAAGCCACCTTTGCGAGAATCTGAGAGGAAGAAGGTGAAAACAGACGATGAAGTCAGATGATCTCTGCTGCGATTTCAGAAAGACACCTTCCACCGTTTTGATCATATCTCTTGATTGGATGATTCAAATCACATTCGGCAAATTGGGGTGGATAGAGGACTTCATTATCGACAACTTTCATGAATGAAGTTTTGTCAAATTCGGAAGTTTGACGCACGCCGTGCGTAGGGGAACGCACGATCGTGCGTCTGAGGCGAGAAAGCAAGAGAGCCACTGCCACGTACGCACGATCGTGCGTGGCAAGGTACGCACGATCGTGCGTACCTTCGAAACGCGGATTTCAGCCCTTTTTTAGTTCCAGTTCAGCTCAAACTCATCTGTTTTCTGTAAATAAGACCCCCATACCCATATTTTGACGTGACGAGCTTAGAGAGAGTGCCTAGCATGAATTTTAGAGGGCTTTTCAGCCTTGTTCATCAATCTTTTGGGATTCTTTGTAAGTTTCACCTTTTTAATTAATGACAATTAATTCTTTTTATTCTAATTCTATTGATTCTTCAATTATGAATTGTGAGTAGTTTTAATTAGGGATTTGGGATTGATGAAGGGGTTGATCATGATGTATGGCTAGATTCTTGATGGGTTAGTTGCATGAATGTCGTTTAATTTGTGTTTGAATAATTTAATTGATATCTTTTGTAACCTGGAACCGCAGCTAGAATTACAATTGCTTGTAGAATAAATTAAGAGAGATCTAATTTATTCTAGAACACATTCACACACACTTAATCGTTCGCTAAGAGATTATTAACGATTAAGGGGCCGTAAGCTCGCTCGTTTTGGCAATAATTTAGGATCATGTCGCATGAGAGATCAACCTGGTCCTCTAAATTATTGTACTCTACGCCGCGAGAGCAGTAAGAACTTAGTAATGATTAGCTAGGCTCAATTAAATCAATTTCATGTATTTAGGCCTGTTCTGCCAGAAATCTGGTTACCCCGGAATCAATCCCTGTTCCCTTCGTCGTTAATTAAGAAGAAACCAATCCTTTATTTTAATTGCTCATTCGCATTAGTTTAATTTTCCAACCCAATCATATCTCGCCCGACGCATTTTTTATTTATTTATTTTTAATCGTTGAATTTAGTTAATTCTTAATTCCCTTTTGTCCGTCCTTGTGGAGACGATACTCGTACTTACACCACTATATTACGATCTATTTTAAGTGCGAGAAAACACACATCACTAGGCGCACCCATTTTTTGTCTGAACAACGATATCCTTGATGAGCAATCACGCCCCTGCATATGGTGCTAGGCGCACCACCCACTTTTCTGTCACTATCATTACGGTGTAGGACATTTAAAGTGTATTTTTTTAAAAGCACTCCTCTTCTAAAAAAAATTATAATATTTCCTAAAGTTCTTTTTTTAAAAAAAAAAATTCCTAAAATTTAGCCCACTCACTAATGTACAATAGTACGGGAGTTGAGAGCTCGTCTCTCTAAATCTTCGGAGTCCTAGGGTTCGCCGCTAGGGATTTTCTCCGATCTCGGCATCTTGGCTGAGGATCGGTCGCTCGGGAGAGGATACGACGAAGGAGAGCAGAGTTCTAGACGGTTAGCAGGCAGCGGCGTGGGGCTGGTGCGAGCCTTTGCGTCCGGAATAACGTGAATTGTATGGAGGATATTGTGGCTTCGTACAAACAGATGTCGATAGAGGAGCAGAATACCGAGTTAAATTTCGATGAAGACCAAGATGAAGGCGGTGATGAAGAGATGGAACCAGCGACCTTTCCGGTGGTTGGGGTCGTCATTACCGACCGCAAGATTAAGCTGCCCGGGTTTCAGGAACTGATGACTTCTCTATGGAAACCAGGGAGAGGTATGTCTATTAAGGAAATTGGTGAAAGGCGTTTTCTGCTTAATTTTAACCATGTTTTGGATATGAATCGTGTGATTGATGATGGTCCTTGGTTGTTTGAGCGTGATCTGATTCTGTTAAAGGCTGTTAAACCAGATGATATTCCGGAATCTTTGAATTTGTATGAATCCAATTTTTGGGTACAGGTTCATAATGCCCCTATGAAATATAGGAATCTGAAATTTGCTAGGAGAATTGGTAATTTTTTAGGTTCATTTATTAAGTTTGAGATGAGTCAGTTTGATGGTAGGCAGAGCCCTTATCTGTGAATTCGAGTATGTTTGGATGTTCGCCAACCTTTAAAGAAAGGTACTAATCTGACTCAGGATGGGGTGAAGCATTGGGTGGACTTCAAATATGAAAAATTACCTAGCTTCTGTTTTATTTGTGGTATTATCGGGCATTCTGACAAATTCTGCCCTTTGAAATATGAGGAGGGATTTGTAGCTGAAAAAATATATGGGGTAAACCTTAGGGCGAATAGCAGAGTGAAGACCAACCCTACAGGATTTAATAAATGGTTATTTGATGGAGCCTCTAGTTCAGATGGTTACAAAGGTCAGCGGAAGTCTGATATCGGGGGGGATTTCTCGGCTGAGTCCAAGGTTGATAAAGAGGAGGCATATGGAGAACTGAAACGCAGGAGAGTTTGGGATGAACAGGTTGAAGCCGAGGATAATGAAGAGGGTATGGCACTGGAGAGGCCAAAAAATGGGGAGGGGGCGGGTCAGACCTCTTAGACCCGCCGAGTCCATGCTGGTTCATTGGAATGAAGAAACGTTGTTTTGGTGTTTTTATTTCTGTCTTTGTCTGTTTTTGTTTTGCTGACTTTAATTTCTGTTTTGTGTTTTTCTACTATGCTTATTTTCCTTGTAAGACTCTTGCATTAAGGTTGGGGAAGGAAAAGTCTGCAATTACCGTCATTGGCTTAAAGTTGCCCAATTTTGGTCTAGCGAGTTATACTGCTTTTTTACAGGTGGTTAGCTCTCAGTCTCGGCCACGGGCGGATGGTTATTTGTGGTTTTTTTCTAGTTTTACCCCCCTACTGAATGCTATTTTTATGAATTAAGCCTTCTTCGAGCAAAAAAAAAGTAACGTAATTATCTGTGCAACATACTCAAATTCCTACAGGATTACACTTTTTACCCACCATCAAACAACTACACCCTCCGTCCCTTGAAATTTGCCAACTTTTCTTTTTTGGATGTCCCACTAACTTTGCCACTTTCCCTTCAATAAAGAATTTGTGATTTCAATTAATTCGCTCTCCACTAACTACGGTATGACAATATCTAGGATGTTTTTAATTGAGATGTTTTCGATCCGAGATTAGACCAAATTTCGATCCGGTGTGACACTATATTGAATTATATATTTGAATATGTAACATTTTTAATTCTAGTAAACTAATAATCTCCTTTTTTTTATTTGTTTGACTAATTTCAAAGGCGGAGGACCCCACCTCTTAAAACTCCATCAGCACCATGCTGATTCCGCATTACGGCCATATAAGTTACATGACTAGATTTAGGTTGTGAATGATATTTAGAATGATTTTAATTGAACTGATTTCGATCTAGACAAATTCAAACAAATTAGATCAGGTTTAACTTCTTTTACCAATAACAGATTACGCTCAAACTGCCAAGGACCTCCTTCAATCACACAATCTTAAAAATGGTTCTTATAGAGAACATCCAATACAAATCACCAAAAGCGAATGTTTTCCTTTAGGAAAACTCCGAGTGTACATAGTTGCACACAATTGTACACAAAACTCCTATGTTGTCTATATACATATGTAATTCGTTTAAAATGCGACAGGACTAATTAAGTCCCTCTATATCAGTCCAGACTTAAACAGATCGGATTAGACCAAACCAGATTTAATAGATCAGGCCAGACCAGACCAGACTTGGA